TGTCTTGGCTCTGTCACCATCCCAGATCTACATAGTTGGACGATCCACAAAGAAATACCAGGCACAGTGCCAAGTAAGTAACTTTTGCTATTCAGTCAGGAAGTCCTAGGGAAGAAAAGGCAATGCATGCAAGTAAATGCATGTGCAAACTCACAAATACACAAAGCAGCAACAGTAATTCAGAGAAAGGCAGCTGGGGTTACAAATGAGGCATTTTCTGGAAGGGTGAATAGTAAAGAGAATCAAGTGGTTGCGGGTTGTATCTACAAGTGCATGCACTGCATATTTCTGAATGATAAAATTAAATGGGTCACTTGAAAAGAAAATTGAGGGTAGGGGATATTAGTATTTTGTAGGTGTCTAACTGGGATGCCAGTGATCAAAACTTAATACCTCATAGCCCTCATAGGTCAAGGCATCAGTAATTTGTCACTCCCTTCTTTTCTCCCTATTTCAGTTCCTCAGTGAAGGTTATGCAGCCCACTTGGCCTCGCTGGAGTTTAGTCTCCATTCACGACCCAAAAAGAACAACTCTCGGATGATCTTGAGAAAAGGCAGCTTTGGCCTCCACTCACAGCCGGAGTTCTTGCGCAAGAGAAATCACCTCCGCAGGACTATGTCTGTGCAGCAGCCCGACCCACCTTCGCTAAACCCCAAGCCAGAGCGTGCTCAGAGCCAGCCTGAATCCGACAAAGATCATGACAGGCATTTGCCTTCCATTGCTTGGGTTCGAGGTGGAGTTCACAAATTTGAATCTATTCCCTAGGAGGATTGGGACTGTAGATCTTGGATGCACCCCATCAAACTTTTAGGCATGCCTGAAAGGTAGTATTTAGGCAGCTCTAAATTAAGAGAAGTGGACAGGAATATGTACCTTGGAGTCTTCCCTGTTCTGAAATCTGCCTTCGTACACCAACTGGGGCACTTCCAGTCTCTTCCTCTTACCATGTTTATTGGGGAAGTTTAAAACAATCTAAAACTATCACAAGTTTATCATCATAGCAACAGGTTATTTTTGGGAACAGATAAAATATGTGCAATAAGAGGAAAAGATACTGATTTTACTCAGAAGGATTGTGGTATCAGCTAATTAGCTGCACCCAACACAGCATCAAGGGTAGGTCCTGTAGGTTACAGAGGAGGTTTACACTTTAAACATTAAGTAGTCTCTTTCCACTTCACTTTTCAATGAAAGTGATAAAGGGAGGCAGCAGTGGGAGCTACAATAGCGGGTGGTTAGGACTTCTACAACAAGATGCTTCCTGGGTGCCTTAAACCCAAGGTTTCCTTTCGGCCTACAGTGTTGGTCAGCAGACTCCAACATGGGCACTCATGTTTGTGTGAGGCGCTGGACAAATAAATGCAAGAACTTCACTTGTGAACCAAACATAAAAACTTGGTGTTAGAATAAATTTGTCAGCCACAGTTTGAACACAGTTAGTGTTGTTGTAACCAAAGTAGTGTGCAACTGTACAAAGATCACATTGTTTGTGGAACTTGATGACTGTGCAAAAATGTGTGGACTGCTCCAAAGAAGATGGCTCTGATGATCTCAGTCCGAGAGTCAGATCCTAAGAGGGCAAGCTGAAAGGAGCTGTTTTACTAAGGGATCTGCAACCTTCAGAGCAACTGCTTTTTAAATTATTTGAACTAGAATATTTACACTGGAGGGAAAAAATAATTAATTAAATAAATTGATAACTTGTTTACCTTCTCATGTTTCACAGCAACTGCTGCATTAAGACAATCTGTAGCATTCAGATTTATAGCATTTGAGCTTCAAAGAGTGGACATGCAGAAATACAGGTGCCACACAGACATTTCTCTACTGATTGAAATTTCTCTCTGATCTCTCAATGGACTTACTAGAAGTAAAATATGTGATGTTTTCCCTAAGTAGTAATATTTCTAGAGCATTATAGTTACTTTAACATAGTAGCAGTTTGCAGATTCTTCATGCAGATACTTCCATGGAAATTCATCAAGAGAATTTTAATGACTGAACTGATGCATGTTTTAAAACCTGCAATGAAGTTACAAGCACACATAAAACTCCCTTTTGTTTAGAGTTAAAAACATACTGTTGACACTGAGAAATCTTGAAATCAAAAGAACTTTCCTTTTTCAGGTTTGTTGTTTGTTTTTTTATTTCAGGGAATTGGGGTGGAGAGGGTGTTATACCTCTCCACCCCACTTTCAGGTTTTGCTAGACCAGATGCAGTCTCTCACCAAGTTGGTTAATGATTTTGAAAGTTAACATGTAAAACAACAAATGCAATGGAAAACTTTTAAGACAGTGCAGAAGTAAAGTAAGTCTGTACTTTCTGTTAACCATGAAGTTTCAGTGGGCTTTTGGAAGGGCGTAGAAGTGTAGCTTTGCCTTAAGAGGCAGCAAAATAGCTTGTAAGTGGAGATGTTTGATTTATATTTTCAGACATTACTTGGCAAGGTAGTCAGCTACCTATTTGAAACTTCCTGAAATATCTCTGGCACATCAGTAGTAGGTTGATCTGGTTTTTGGGTTTTTTTTTTCTAATGCTTCCTTTAAGGGAAGGGATAATCTCTGCTGAAGATTAAGGAAAGATGTAAAACGTCTGGTAGCAAACACTCTTTGGGAGCAGGTAAATACGTTACAAGGGGCTAGGGTTTTGTGCTCTGTTGCTACAAAAGCTAAATGAAAAATAGCTTGCAAACTACATTGAAACACTCTTAACATTTACAAATGCTTTCCCAGTAGTATCATAGTTCTTGAATCCATGAAGTTGGAGGTATTATTCCATGTTTTCTCTCAGCCCACTGCATGGATTAATTCTAGTCACATAGTCCATTTCTTCTGTGCTTTGCACCATGATGAGGTTGCACAGGTCCACCAGCCTCCATCTCCTTCTAGTGAATTTACTGTTAGCACGCTCCTGCTTGTTAATTTTAATAGGCATGGGAATCCTTGTGAGAGAGGAACTTGCTAGGAAAATTTTAAGTTTGATGAGGGGTCTAAAATACTGACTGATCAAAAAGTTCTTTTTAGTCATTGGATGTTGTTCAGCATATCTCCTGACTGTAATCACTATTCCTGTTCAAAGCTACTGTTGTTTTAGCCATCTACCTCTATCACCCAAGAGACTTGAAAACCTATTTTTTGTTTTCATTTGCTGTGGTAGAAAGGTCTACTTCCTTTCAAAAGAGGGATCTGTGTGTAATTCTGTGACTGTACTGAAGGAAATAGTGTCTGAGTACAAGGTTATAAAAATCTCCTAGCTTATAAAGGGCTGTCTTTTACTCTTGGAGGCATAAAGTCATTTTACAGGGTTCCATGTCATGAAGACTCTGATTTTGTGGATCTCTGTTAATAGCTGGGTCACCTTTACAGTAGTCACTGTGCTGGCTTCCCTTAAGAATATTGGGAGCTAATAGGAGTAAAACAAGTGTGTGCATGTGTATGGTTTAGTGTGGTAACAATTTCAAAGTTTCTACACGTGGTATTAAAATCAAGCTGAAAATACTTTCCCTAACTTTGTTTTCTTACAATGTATGAGGGCTTATATGGCATTTGCATAATTCCAGCACTGCTGATTGCTCATGGCTAGAATGGTTTATCTTGCAATCTCACACTCCAGCTGTGCACTTTGGTAAAATGGTGACACAGGCTTTTTAGTTACACACTTTTTCCACATGAAACTGCATCCAGTCATTCACAGGCATTCGGCTTGCAATTGGATTTCAGTTCTACTTGTGTTTTCATGAAAGATCAGTCCCCTAGGAAGCCATTCGCTGAGGCTAAGTTTGATCCTGCAGTCATCTTATTCTTGATTGCAAGTCCTCATTGCTGCAGTTTCTGTGCAGTCAGCACTTACTTAAACTGTATGGACTATGAAAGTGTTTTATGGATATGGTACAGAAGGGAAAGGGACAGAGAAGTCAGGTGGGTGTGCCCACAGAACATACATTAGACTCATCAGTTGTTTAGTGCCTCCAGTGTGTAACAGAAAAGCACATTCTTTTAACATGCTGAATGGAGGAAGCATAAATGAAATTGTAAAATGCAAAATTGTTAGTCCAGTGGGTGCTAAGGGTACAGTACAAGTATGCCACAGTTGGAAGCATTTACTTCTTTGTCCTGTTGATATGGATCCATTTTAAATTACTGTAAAAAATGGCTGTGATTAATAGCAGTGGTAGAGTTATTTGAGATATTGTGAAAACACACCTTCACAACTGTGGTGTTTGGTTTTGTCTGTGTGTATGTGTGTATAGCTACTGGAAGACAAGTTTTGGTTCTGCTTTCACAGCAGATTTGTAACCAATACACATTAAAAAAAAAAACAAAAAAAACCAAACCAACTCAAACACAGCAACAGTGGCTGTCTGTTCAATTTTGTTGTCTAGCTAAGGTAGGTTTGGAACAAGGTATCATTGTATAGATTGCAGAACTGAATAGTGATGTTAATCCAAATCTGCTTATTTTGAATAACATTTTTATTTTCATACACTAGTGCTCTTGGTATAGATTTTTGCTTGACCAAACTATTCCTGTTTAGTTTTGTGGCATGGTTCATATCTATTCAGCATAAAATTCTGTTAGGTGTAAAAATGACAAAGTACTGGTAATTCTTACTCATTGGGGTTCATGAGAGCTGTCATTTTTATTTGTTTACATTAAACTAGTCTTAATTTATTCCGATTATTTCACTTTTTCCTCTAGTACCTAGGGAACTCACTTCCAAACAGCTAAAACTGGTTATGTAGAAGTGGAACTATCAGTAAACTAGAGAAAAAAAAATTACACACCCTGGTCTATGCAGGACAATGACATTTTTTTCAGAATCCCCAGTATTCTGCAAAATGCCCTTACTAGTGAACAAGTTGTCCTGTTTATACATTGCAGTTTTTCTTTAGCCAGGACACTACTAATACATGTATTTAACAAAGCCTCAATACTTAGATCTATAGTATCATCATGTCCTTCATGGAATAAATTTAGAAAGGGAAATTTTTTCCCCTTCTTTCTATACCATTTCTGTTTTAAATTTGCTAAAAGCTGTTTTTAATAAGCATTTAAAACAAAACCTGAAACCAGTGGGTATTTTGCATTTTAAAATTTGTAGGTCCAACAGTTGTTACAAGTAGGATTTTCCCCAGTTTATTTTTCCCTCTTGCCATCTAGGCTGCAGAAAGGTGAGCACGTCATCATATGACTAGATGATTGGAGCATGGGTATCTTTTTAGTAACCTCATTGGCCTGATAATGGAGAGATGAGGATTATGCACCACAATTTCATGATTTTTCTGATTAGAGACTGACGTGTGGCATCTGAACTCAAGATCTTGCATTGAATTGTTCATGTCAGGCATGCAGGGGACAAAGTGGCACTTTCATCCTCATCTGGAGCTGGTACAGGGTAGAATTCCTACACACACAAAACCTTCCAGCCTATCTTCTCAGCTTCTCTAAGAGCAGTGATTCCTCATGGTCTGTGTTCAAAGCTTAAGCAGAAATTGTGGGTTTGTCGAGGTAATTAAGATGTCCATTATGTTTAGTCACTCGAGGTAACTACGTTCTATAGATGAGCCTGAATTCAGACACACACACACACACCCCCAATAAAAAATGGAAGTAATAACACATTTTTCTGCACTAAAATACCTGTTTTTCAGAAAAAAGGCCTGGAACAGCTAGAATCCTGTGCATGGACACTGGAATTTAAGTCCTTTGTTGGCTCTTTCACTCATTTTAGGTCAAGCCCAGACAGGATTATTACAGTTTACACAGTACTTGTATTAATCTCAATAAGCTATCCTTGAAACTGAATGGAATTTTGGAGGGTTGGGGAAGATAAATTCCACAGTTCATTTGTCATTTGTATGGATGTATAGAACATAGGAGGGGGAAAAGAGAGAGGCAGGTTTACTGTGACATGCTGGGAGATGGTATACTAGAGATTGCAACACTGAAACATGATTTACAGATAGCAAGTTTGAAAAGTGATGTTATTCCTGGATGACTGGTATACAGCCCAGAATGGCAGTCTTCTCACAGAACCCCAAGTCTTATGCATAACTTGTTTTTCTGTTTGTGGGGGTGAAAAGGGGCAGTCCCCTTACAACTGAATACACAAGGAAACTTGAAAATGTAGGTGTTCTTTCAGTCTATAGTTTTATTAAGTGCATACTTTTAAATATTGTCAGTGAGAAGGTTCTATCTGGTGACAAATGTTTATATTTCTTATGGCTGCCTTGTAAAGATTCAAAAATGTACAATAATGAATTTCTTAATATGAAATAAGGAGTAAGATTTCTACAACTGCTATAGATTTTGATGTGAGCTGGTTTTTAAAATCTTAAAACAGATTAGCCACTTAAATAAAACCTTCCTTGCCTTTAAACAAACAGTGTCTCTGACTTTTCTTACCAGTAATTTGATAAATATTGAATCATGATTGTACATGTCCGAGTAGCTGGTGGAAACATTACAAATAGAGGCTGTTTGATCTGTCTGAAATAATACTTAGATTGGAGGTCAACTTCTCAAAAACCTCCAACCCTCCTTCCTTTTCAAAAGTCCTAAAAGAAGGCATTTCACTAATGAGACAACATCTTTGTGAAAGCTTTATAGAAGTAGTTTCAGGACAAACAAAGAACAACTTGGAGATACTATACTGTATCCTTACAGTAGTATATACTATACTTATACTTCCATATAGAAAAGTTGTTTAAAATCCCACAAAACACACACAAACACTACATGAAGAAATAACACAAGCTAAAATTCTCAGTCATCTGAAAGTCCAGAAGTCTTCAGGCTGGAAGGGTTGCTTTCATATTTCCAGGCCTCATTAACAGTTTCGATGTTTTAAAATGGGTTCATTTGACAAGAAAAAAAAAAAAATGCTGAGCAAGTTTAAAAATCAATACAAATACATAAATTATAATTGAATGCTTTTCATATTTATACCTAATACCATTAAAATGTTAGTAACACTGGAACTACTAGGTCACATGCACATTTTAAAAATTATCAAGTAGAGCAAAGTTTCCCAAATCAGTCTTTTTTTTAAAAGTTCATTTTAGAGTGAACTTACTGGAGAAGCCTGCACAAAGCTTACCATGGAAAACAGCCCTGCTGTTGAATTCTAAAAACCTGACAAATCCTTACTTTCACGTGAAAGACTAAACTTCATTATCCTGAATGACCTACCAAAAAAGGCTTGTCAAATGAATGTTAATTTTTTTAAAGTAATTAGAAGCAAAATACAGGTATCAAATGCTAAGTATACATAATCAAAATACTTCCACTGTGATATTAGCTAATAACAGTAGTTGCAAGAGGTTACATTAATTGTAGTAACAAATTTCCCTGTGTAACTAAAAGATGTGCCACGAAAGCAATGTTTAACTCAACTGCCAAGATGCTGTCTAAAGCATCAGTAAGAAATGACAAAGTTTAATTTGTCTGGAGCCAGACTACCTAAGATAGGATTAGATGGCTAATCCTTAAGGCCATGAAGTAAGAGTCCTAAAATGGCTCTGTTCTTGTGGCATGAGTGACTCCACAGAATCCTGTTGCTTTGGAATGGCAGTTTTGCTTAGAACTCAAAGAAGCCACTACTGTTTTATTAACTTCCAGCTAACATGATGAATAACTTTAGTTTGCTAGTAACAAAGAAACCCCAGCAAGTTAGGCTTCCAAAATAACAGACCAATCTTTTTCACATGGAAAGTATTTGTGCTAAATCTTGTGGCTGCTGGATACCAATTTAAGCACTACTCTTACCTGGGATTACCCTTCGTAAGTCTGTCATAAGCCCTTGCTTTGGCCATTCTTACTGGCCAGTTCAGCATCATTTTCTAAGTACTCACTACCTCATGAAAGTCACTTTCAAGACAGTTCCCTCATCTCAGTGGAGGTAATACACTGTGGTTGGTACTACTTTGATTCTCTCTTTACTTGAAAAGAGGAAATAAGGGAATTCCTGAGTTGTTTCATACAAAGAAAAAAAAGTGTAATGGCTCTCTCTTATATGTGCTCATAAACTTGGAAACATGAAAAAATAGTTACAGCCATCTCTGTCTAGGTACCAAGTGCTTGATGGAGTTTCTTTGCTTGCCTTCTGATAGCTTGAGATGGTTTCAGGGATCGATGTACAGACTTTGAGTTTTGTGCCATTAGATAGTAGTAGTTTGATACTGCTTGTTGCCTGCGGGAAAACAACAGGACTACCATTAGCAGCATGAAGTCAGTAGAGTTAATCAACTGGTTGTCACACAAATTGCTGGAAAACAGATGGGAGAAAGGAAGAGGTCTGGTACAATTTCACTATGCAACTGTTCTAAACACTAGCAAGAAAATATTTTGTTACCTTCAGTGAATGTAGATGGCAAGTACACAAATTAAGTACTGCAATAATTTAACTAGCAACAGTAGCATTTCTTGTGATATAATCTAATTCATTAAAATGTTCATTAGAACAATACTTTGAGTTGGAAACAATCATTTGAGATCAAGGTTTGCTTCATCATGAAAAATTTAAAAGGAAGCACTAACATTAAAACTCATCGCAATTGGATACCAGAACAAAAATTCTCATGCAAGACTAAAGGCACCTCCAAAAAAGTTCATTTCACAATTATTCCAGTAGGCAACTAGGCAATAACAGAGCACATTGTACGCATCTGCACGTGCAGGAGTACCGGCCCAAATTGTGGAAGCAGTACAAATCACTGCTGAAACCATCAGTCCAGCATTTGAAACTGCTGTCATTTTTCTTGAAAATCACAAGTTACAACAAAGTGTCTTGCACCTATCTTCGTTGCTAAAATAGGACACAGTATTCAGGATGTACCTTTCCCTCTAACAAAAAGAACACTTCCAACATAATGGGTGAAGATATTTATGTCACATCCACTTGGGTACAATTGCTGTGTTTAAAAATGCCACCAACATAGTTATGAGCTGCTGTTAATTGTGATAGCATAGACTCAACTGCTATGAAAATTTGAGGGATGGAAAAAAAAGGCTGTAAAATCAGATAGTTCAGGAAAATCATTGGTTCTCTCATGCTTTGTGATCATTAGTAACCAGTGAGAACTGAACCTGAGTGACAAAAAGATTAGTACCAGTCATTTTTTGGTCTGGAGTGAGAAAAGCTGATGTTTGCATAGGAGGTTCACTGTGAACCCATAAGGACACACTAATCCACAATTTAGAGGTGAAGTTTTACAACTGCACAATGATCTGCTGCAGCAGAGATGACCACAGTGAATATGAAGGAAGAACCCTGTGGTTCTATGTAATACTGCCTTAAAGCAGCATGAGATAATAAGCTTTTCTCTCTATAAACAGCAGGTTTTCTCCCCACAGATGCATGCAGGCATAGCCAAGGTAAGTGAACAACTACTTTACCTGGTTGCTACTATCTTCAGTTACGAATGAGAGAAACTGTCATATCACTAGCAGATGGGAGAATATTAGGGGTGAGATTTAGTGAACTTTCAGTGGATATGATAAAATTAACTTGATACAAGTTTTAACCTATAGTTATCTAGACATGGTCCCATTCGTACAAATTTTTGCAATTATCTGGGATGCTAAGCCCTTACCTCTTTGTAGGTAAAGTACTTGATCCTTAACTCTCTCTAGAGAATTTGACATTTATTTACGTGCTCTAAGAGACGAAGTTTAGGGAATCACTCTGTGACAAGATTTCTGACCTTTAATTTTTACTTTCTTAATATGTTTAATTCAGAATGTCATAATCTTCACAAATACAGCAGTTTACCACCTTGTGGATTAACCAAGGTGTTTTATAAGAGGCTTCTTCATCTGGCTACCATGGACTGTTAACATAATGCTACCTAATAAAAGTTTTTTTTTAATAGATGTGCAGACATCAGTGACTGTGCCAGTACACTGGAATTTTCCCACCTTCTCCCCCAGCCTGGATTGGCACCTCTTTTAGACAAGAGTCAGGGAGGTACTGTTCTCACACAAGGTCAAAGGTAGCCTCCTTCTGATAAAAATCTGACTTCCACAACAAGGCAACTGAAGAGAAGTAGAGCATTTGGCAGGTTTTAGAAGCTGAAAATCCAACTGCAGATTTAATCTTCCCGGGTATCTTTACGAAAAAACGGATATTCTACATTACACTTGAAAAAGTTCTACAACTACTCCTAATCCTGAGTTACAGAGACTACTTGGCCAGCAATTGGCTATGTTCAGGGGGCAGGTAAAGTTGATGGACACTTAGCAGTATTTACCTCTCCTCTTTCACAATGGCATCATCGAATGCTTGAGAGATACGCTTCAACTGGCAAATCCCTGAGGAGACCAGTTCCAAGTCACAGTCAAACTCTCTGCAAACAGAATGGTCATTGCTCCAGATCAAACAGGACAGGCTGACTAGGTGACACTACTCAGGCCTCCATCCCTGCAGTACCACCCTTGTACCTCTAGACTGTACCCAGAGAAGTTTAGGGCAGCGGCAATTACGCTCTTAATTCCATTGGCCAACTGCTTCATGTCTCCATTCATCCCCCAAACAGCTATCTTCCAACTCAGACACAGGATTCAGGTTCACAAGGCTTGGATTCAACTTCTGGCTTTAACCTTGCTTGTGACTTTGACCAAAAGAAAAACCCACGTGCACAATATTAAGTATTTCCCTAGCTCACAACCCTTAATCTGATTTGCATTTGTTCTTTGAGGCAGGAATCTCTGCACATTCTATAAAGAACTCAGCATAAGTAGAGCTATTCCTGGTATCTTTGGAATACAAATAGCAGCTTTGGAAAAGTTACAACTAAATCAGAGTGAGATACAGAGCAATTTCCTTTACCCAAAATGCACCAGCAAAGAACTTGGGTATGTCTCTAAGAAAAAATTACTTTTTATGCTTTAGCTTTATGCATAGCTCAGTCCCTGTCTATATAGGGAGCTGGCACTACTTTCCTAACTATTCAAGCAGCACACACCTTCAGGAGAATAGGACAGAAAACTTTATAACTTGCCTTTCACTTTACTAGATACTCTCATCAGGGTAATAAACTAAAAATTTAAAAAAAAAAAATTTACAAAAGAATGTGACTTACATCTTTCTGCTGGAAGGAGCAGATGAATAAGGGCTCTTCAGTGATGCTGCTCTTCTGGATCTCCGAAGAGAGACAGCATTTTTACCAAGCCAGGATGAGAAATCCCTCCATTCTCTATGTTCTGACACCCTTGTTGGCCCAAGCAAGGCCCTTTTGCTGGACCTTGGAGTTCCTTTGGAACTGGCTGCTGGAGTAATGTTCTTAGAGCAAGGTGTTCCAGGTGTAGCAGTTCTTTTTTTGGTAGAACTGGTCGCACAGCTTCTGCTGATGGATTCAGCTGGAAAGGTCACCATTGAGCATACTGGGCTTTGGCAAGACTTCTGTATTTTCTGAAAGAAGCATTAGACATGTTAGGCTAAATGAACTCAATTAGCCGTGAGTTTAGGACCAGGAAGACCAGGAATATTTGGTCTGAATTACTAGCTTCCATTCTCATATCAGGTTTCAGCTAACATGAATACATCTGAACCTCTGTACTCATTTGCATAGGGAGTCTCTTGCTTCCATAACCCTTGGCACTTGTCAAGGACTTCAGAGCAGGCATTAGGAACAAAGCTCTTGTTGCTCTTATGCTAGAAAAATTCAGGCTCCCCAACAAAGAACTCATGCATTTAAAAATCTGAGGTCTCTAAGAAGGGGAAGTGCAAGCTTGAATATTGTACCTTGTAGCAGGTTCTGTCAGTCTAAATTTAGATTAACTATAATGGAGAACATGCTAGTACACAGTATGGCTACAGTAGAATAAATAAAAGAAAAAAAATCCAAAGTGCTGCACATTTCTCGGTAACAATTCTTTGCAAATGATGGCAATCTCTACCCAATTTCCTCTGTGTAAAGGCTGCTCTGCCATATATGATTAAATACAGTAAGGGAAAAGTTATTATTTCATAACAAAATAAAATAAACTGTTTTCACCTTCCTCCATGTTCTGCCAGATCCATAATTTGCCTGTCTGTACTTTAGGAAAAGACATTAAATATTTTTAAAGTTAGTAACTATGAGACAAGTACTAAGGTGTGCAAGTGTGTGGGAATGGACTCTCTGGAATACAGCACTCAGTACAGAATTCAGAAATCTTAGTAGTGGAGTTGAAGCAAAAACTAAACTCTACCTATGTTGTACTGCAAAGACAAAATACCTGGGACACTGCTCCAAAAGCATGTTTTGCTCTTCTTGTAATAGTCTGAAGAGTTTGGCACCTCTGCCTTGGTTCCAGACTTTCCCTAGTTGGGGTTTTATGAAAACTCAGATTGACTTGCTTTAATGGTACCCGTTTCCTTAAAGACATGCGAATGGTATTGAGAGAACTCAGAGAGGCTCTTCTCTTGAATTTGTCAGGCACTGGGCTCTCATTCTCATTGAGGTCAGCTAGGAGCCGGTGTTTCCTCCACGCCACTGTTGCTTTGACATTTTGGAGCACAGATGACATCTTGTTCCAGTTCTTGGTCAAGAACTTCTTTATTTCTAAAAACAATGAAAATGAGAGCAAAGCTTAAGCAGAACAAGGTAAAAAGCAGAGTAAAACAACAAAAAAACATTTTTTTTTCCATAAAAAAATGGAAATTGTTACAGAATATATTTGGTTACACTTGCCTGAAACAAGAAAACCAGAGCTGAGAAGACTTTTAGTTGGACTCTTGAAGGAGAACAGCGTTGATTTTTACAGCTACTTAGGTTGGCACAAGTCCACAAAGAAGGCTTGTATTGCAATTCCACTGCAAAACTCTAGTTTGAGAGGTAGAATGCTCTATGAGTACATTGTTTTTGTTTGTGTCTCAGATCAAGATCTGATATCCCAAATTTTTGCCTTCTTTTATCAAAACAACCTTCCACTGCGAGACAAGTTTACGCAGCTGCTATTGTCTCCTGCCAGCTATGAATACGGATACGTAAGTCCTGAAACAGACAGGATAATTACTGGCAAAAGACTTTGGTGGGAAGGGCTAAAACGCTAGTTATCTACATGACATGACAATTTCAACATATATACTTTCCATTCTTGATTTTCACTTGCTAACAAATACGATTGAAACGACCCGAGGGAGCCGCTGCTGTCCTGCGGTTACAATGATCTGTTTATTGGCCGGGTATCGCACAGGACAGCGCGGTGCGCTCTTTCTTCTGGGGGCCCCGGCGGTCTGGGGCAGCCCCGGCCGGGCCCCGGGACACACGCAGGCCCGCGCCTCGTCCGAGCCGCTCTCGCCGCAGGAGCCCCGCTCTGCCGGCACTGGCCGCGCTCCCCGCCGGCAAGCCGCGGCAGATCCGGCGTGCCACCACATCGGGCTAACGGGACAGGGGGTGCTGGGCGGGCCCAGCCGGTGCCGTTATTGTGCCCACCGGGACAGTAGCGACAAGCGCGGAAAGTGCCGCCAAGGTCGGAGGAGACGGGCTCGGGCAAAGGGAGCAGCGACCGGGCCGCTCTGGTAGCTGCTCGGGCAGTACTCACCCAGTGCGCCGGACGGAACCGGGACCCGGATCGGGACCGAGCTACCGCCTCCCTGCAGCAGCTCCTTTGTGCGCCGCCACCGAGTTTGAACGCCGCGCCGCTCCCTCCGAGCCGCCGGATTGGCGCCGCTGCCGCCGCCGCCCGCCGCAATTGGCTGGGCCCCGCGCGAGCGGCTGCCGTTGCTCGGCCCGCGCGCGGAGCAGCCGGCGCTGAGGGGGCGGCCCGCGCCGCGCTGAGGGGAATGCCCCGGGCCCAGCGGCACAACCGCAGGGGCTGCGCTGCGCCCCGCCCGCGGCTCTGGGGCCTCTGCGGACCTCGGCCCAGAGATCCGCCTCAGCTGGACTAGTTAAAGGACTCAGGCTGGGTTGCCCACTTGGGTATCCAAGCCACAGCTCCTGTTACTTCTGGTAATTATCCGTCAAAGTCTTAGAAGGTTTTTTGTTTGTTTGCTTTTACTCCACGGGCTTCTGCCGCTCTTGCTGGAGGAGAGAGCTAGTATAACTGTCCGTATGGCACCGTAAACCATCCGGGACGCCCTCTGAAGCACATCGGGCAGCAAAGAGGGCCCAGGGCAAAGGATGTATGTGTTCAGCGCTGGGGGATTTTGTTTTGATTAGGTTTTTTTTTTCTTACCCGAGTGGCAAACAAGACATGCAAAGCATTCATTTATCTTTAAATGACTTCTGCCTGAAAAAATTGCTCTAGAAAGAACTGTAGCAGCATCTGTTTTTTCCCAAAGATTTGATTTCCCCACACCGAGTTAAACTCGGAGCTGACAGCTAAAACACCTCCTTAGCTAAGACTTGGCTTATAGTGACGGGGAAGCCAACCCAACACTGCAGGATACCTCTTGAATCTCACCACTGGCTTATAAGCAAACATACTTTTTACAAATTCATAGGAACTCTGGTTTTAAAAAAGATCCACATGATGGGTTTTGTGCCGCTTTGTATTCTATTCACACCCTGATATTGATTAGTGCAGTAATAAACATCCTTTATTAACAGGTGTGTTTCTATGTATTACAGCCCTATATTCTGTTCTGCTTTCCTCTGTGTGTTGACTGCAGGGCTTGCAGGTAACTGAAGTGTTAGACTTCTTCCCCTGTGTTCTCCCCAGCTCTCTATAGCAAAAGTTTCAGGTTCTTCTCACTAGCAAACTGGAGCTTCAGCCACCATATTTTAAGACTTGGTTTAGATTTTTGGACATTGATGTAGAGACCTCCTAAATGACTAACAGTTCTGCAAAACAAAGAGCTCTTCTTGGGGGTACTAAATACAAGAGAGAGAGAGTAAGGTAGTAATCAGACCACATGCTCAGTTTCTAAGGGTTATCTTGATAGCTGGGGATGTAGGTTGGTACTTTGAATGGCAAGAGTGGGCAGAGGAATCCCTAAGAATAGAAAAGGTGCTAATTGAAAAGAGCATGTGTACAGACAGAGAGAGTCTGTGCGACATAAGAACTGTAGGCAAAAAGACAAACAGCAGACTGAAGCTTAATTGTGCTATCAACCTGTCCTTTCATGCCTGTTTATACAATTAAAATAGAAATATCTGAGCCTTTATAGTAAACAGACTCTCAGGGATCTGCATGTTTTCTTCTGCTTCTGGATCCACTTCTTGTTTCCATCCATTTCAACGTTTTTTATCCAGCCTTAATCTAAGGCAGGGTACGAATTGTCATGGAATGGTACCCCAGAAGACTGTGAAAAGTCATTAGTGATAATTGCGCACCGATGGTCCTGTTCAAATGTATGCAGCCCAAATAACGGAGTACTTTTAAATGCTAGGCATCAGACCACACACCATGATCAATTAATTGCAGCTGATGCTAACCAAAGGTTTTGCAGACAGTGTGGCTACTGTAGCAGCAATTGATACCATTTCACTGTTTAGCTAGACTGAAGGTGAAGGCCAAAATGTTACAAGATGTGTCCTATGCTTGTACTGCAATTGTTCTTCACTCTTTGTTTTTTTCTTTTGATTTAGGTAAGACTATAGTTTAGGCTCAAGGGCTTGTTTGACAGCTGGAGTACAGAGGCAAAGGGTTGTTGGTTTTGATTGTGAAGAAACAAATTTTCATCCATTTGTTTAGAAGCCTATTATGTTGGGATTGGCAAGAAATCTACCCACAGCTTTCTGCACGCTGGTTTGATTTAAGACCCAGAAGAGAAGTCCTCTCAATGGAAGATGACAGTGAACCCGAGCAAAGCTCCTGGGCCTATCTACCTGATGTCTGTCTGAGGCTTATCTTCCATTGGTTAGATGACAGGGACAGATCTCGGGCTGCCTTGGTCTGTAAAAAATGGAGTTGCACCATGCACTCTGGATCTCTCTGGAGATGCAGAACCATCACCTTCTATGGCCAACCATCAAGGGCACGCACATTGGAGTTTCAAAGTGCACTGTGGTATACCAAGAAATTTGGCAAGTATTTGAAGCACCTTGAGATCAAGTTATCGAATCCTTACAATACTCCCTTTATCAAAAAATTTCAAGTGATTATGAGAGGTCTTCTTTCACATCTGGGTAAGTGTAATAGTCACCTAGTATCCCTAAGCATCAAGTACCTAGAATTAGACTGCTTGATCTGGAAAAATGTGGTTAGGGCTCAGTTTATCAAGAATTTAGCTGCCTTCCTGAAAAGAATGAGCAATCAACTTGATTATCTTAACTTAAAAGGAGCAAGAATAACTTTGGAAGAAGGCTGTGAGCTTCTGAATTCTCTAAGCAGTTTGACAAATAGAAGCTTCATATCTGAAATCAATATTGAGGATTTCTTCAGTCTCCACATTTCTGTCTACAGCAGTGCCTTGTTCCACCAAACTATGTCTAAGTTCCACAGGCTGACCATCCTGACTTTCAATTATAACTGCATCTCTGATGAACTGCTGGACATCCTGCGGGAGCGCAGCTCTCATTCCCTGTGCACCTTGAATATCAAGTGTCATATCCATGACCCTCATGGGCAAGTGGTCTCAGGAATGTCATGGGCAAACTTGGCCAAGAGAGCCCCAAAACTGAATGTGAATTTCTTCTTTGAAAGAGTCATGAAGCATGATCACCTAGCTAGGATTCTGCTAGAGGAGATCCCAGTTAGGAGCATCAGCCTACGGAGCTGTTATTTTAGTGACCCAGACTGGACAATGAGACCTACCCTCACCAACCTTCTCCCAGCTTACTGGCATGGTCTGCAGGTAAGGGAAACAACAGAGACACCCTACTGCAGTATCACAAAGCTATACAAAGTAATCATGTAGACCTTCTGCGTAACAGCAGTCAGCGACAGAAGTTCCTGACTGCTTTAGTTTTACATTCAGAGGGCAGGTTTCATAAGTGAGTCATTTCACCCATAACGTTGTTAATGAAATTATCCTTGTCCAGTAATAACCCTTCATAATGCTATCAGGCTGCTCTATTTTGGCAATGCACAAATGTCCTACAGCATATCTAAATTAACTAGTGCCCACGTCAAAGCACTTCGGTGTCACAAGGGATGTGTCATCAAAGGTTTGCAACAGCTGACCCACGTAAGTGAGCATCAGGTCTTTGCATGCCAGAGGGAAACACGTGGCCTTACACTTGATGGTTGCTGACAGCTTTTGTAAGTCCTGTTCCGTTGCAGAGTTGCCAATAAACACCATAGATATATAAAGCTTTCTAGAAACCATCATTGGCTCTAGTCTTGTCTCTGGGATAATTTTCATTATGTCAGATAAGATCATGGTATGACTGTAGGTGCAGCATTTTCTAACAAATGCATAGAAGGTCACCCCATCCTAACAGGAGAGCAATTTACTGTAGCACATACACTGTTGTCATAATGCAAAACAGATCCTCAGCTAATATCAAGGTACAAAATTGATCTGCTTTTTTTTTTGTTAACTTGGAAAACTATTTGTTGAATTCTAGTTACTGCATGCAACATCTGTTTAGTAGTATTAACAGTGTTTATTTTTTTTCAAGAAATTAACACTTGAATTAAACA